CAGGTGTGCCCCTGTGTGAGCTGTGTGCACTCTCTTAATGTAGTTGAGCCTTGATTTATGTTGGAGTCACTAGGAGGGATTGACCCCTAGGCCAATCTGTTGCAAGGATCGGCTGCAATTATAGCTGAAGACCCACTCCATAGGTCTCTGAGCCAACCCTATAAAGCAGGACTTGCTTCAGTGGGGCTTTGGTGCTCACTGAGTCTGCCCCCTGCGTGTGTCACTTGTGGAGATGGTAGGGTTGTAATCCAGTGTGGTCCAAGTTGAACACTGGGTACACTGGCTCTGGGGCCTCCCAAGAGGTGGAAAGTCAGCCTCTGCCTTTCCCCTGCCTGGGGCCATACAGCATGAGCTACAAAGCAATCTGCAGATGGCTGCTACTTGTGTTGCGCTTGAAGGTGCCCAGGAGAGGCCAAGCTCTGAACCAGGGTGGGCTGCTGCTAGTGCCAGGCCTAGGGCCACTTATTGAGAGGTATGGGGCACAGCTGCTGCTTGTTTTATTTTAGCAAAGTCCAAAGAATGAGGCAAGATACGCCAGTTGTATGGAAAAGCCACTGGAAATGGCTTGGATGAGACTGCAAGAAGGGAGGGGCAGGGTCTCAGGGAATCAACAGGGCAGAGCAAAAGGTGTGAGCCAGGTTGATGGAGATGCAGTTATGGCCCAGCCTGTCAGCTCTGTGACAGGGATGGCTCAGCAAAGGAATGCTGGCTTCTGCCAGCACTTCTGTCTGGGAGCAGGCTGACCTCCAGCTCTTGCCCTGATTCCAGACAAGCTAGTTCGTCCCCAAATGTCCCAGGTTCCTTTCAAACTGCTGCCCCAGTGCTGGAGCTCAGAAGGAGTGAGTCCAAGTAAGTCCATGTGCAGGCCCTTTAAGAGGAACTGCCTGGCCAGGCCTTTGTGGCTCAGTGGTTGAGCATCGACCTGTGAACCAGGAGGTCACAGTTTGATTCCCAGTCAAGGCACATACCCACGTTGTAGGCTCATCCCTGGTAGAGGGCGTGCAGGAGGCAACTGATTAGTGATTCTCTCTCATCATTGGTGTTTCTATCTCTCTCCCTCTCCCTTCCTCTCTGAAATCAATAAAAATATTTTTTTAAAAGATGAATTGCCTGGAACTCCAGAAGCATAGGTGTCACTCAGCAACAGTTACCACTGGTTTTTACAGCTGGAAGTTATGGGGACTTCTCTTCACAGCACTGGAACCCTGGCTGGGGTCCTGGTGTGAGGCAGGGACCCCATCTCCTCTGGGAAACCTCCATAGCCAAGTATTTCTTCCCATTTTAAACTGCCTCACGTGGGTGCTGGACCAGCTGGTTCCATGATTCCACCTGGATCTCTGCCCCCTCCTACCAGTCTCCATGTGCTTCTAATTTAATTCCCTAGTTCAGTGGTTCTCAACCTTGGCTGCACATTAGAATCACCTGGGAATCTTTTTAAAATCCTGATTTCTGGGCCTCATCCTCCGGAAATTCTTTCTTTATTACTAATGCTGTGGTCCCACCCCATAACAAAGAAACAGAATTTCTGGAGGATGGGGCCCAGAAATCAGGATTTTAAAAAGATTCCCAGTTGATTTTAATGTGCAGCCAAGGTTGAGAACCACTGCCCTAGTTGTAGGACTTCTGTTCAGCTAGATTTCAGGTGGTTCTGAGTCATGGTTGTTCTGTATTTTAGTTGTAAATTCTGGTGTCACTGTGGGAGGTGGCGAGTACTGTGCTTACCTATGCTGTCATCTTGTCTGGAATTCAAGTTTACTTTTTTTTTAGGGAAGATTCTAGCCTAGGACATGACCACCTGCCACAAACTGCTTTTAGTTAAAAAGTTAATTTCAGGCCATACTTTGTGGTTACTTTAGGTGTCTGAGTTTATAAGGCCTATCCTGAGTTTATAAGGCCTATCCTGAGCTTGTCAGGTTAGCGTGTGGCCCCTTTTCATCCACACTTTGTTGAGGGATGTTCTGGGGTGAAAGAGGATTTTATTTGCAGTTATGTTTCCCCCCACACTAGCCGAGAACAACTTGCAGGGCACCTTCCTCAAAGCACCTACAGGTGGGTGCAGGCTCTCAGCCCCACCCCAGGGAGCACTCCTCTCCCCAAGGTGCTCTGGAAAAGACCAAGGCCCAGAGGGAGTCCAACCAATTACTACCCATCAGAATCTCTGGGGTAGGGCTAGGAAATCAACATGTTTTTAAAAACTTCCCTCTAGATTTCAGGGTACAGGTAGAGCTGAGATTTGTGGCTTTTAGAGACCACACAAACCCACTCTCACCGGAATCGGAGCTTCAGCAGTTATAAAGGGGTTGAAAATTTCTCAGTTCCCCATGGGGAGACACCCATCTCTTCCTGCTCCAGGTCTCTCAAGTCTTCTCAGTCTTTATCCTTCCCAAGCCTGGGTCTCACCTTTCCTTCAATTTGGGGAACAATAGATTGCCATTAATTTCATTTCACTAAAGTTAGCTACAAGGGGAAAACCTAATGTAGCTATCCCCAAGAAGCACAGGGAAGGAAAAAAACTTGTCTTTTACCCTCACAGGGTCCCTGGCTTGGTCTGAAAATTAAACTGATAAAGACAGAAAAACAGGAGAAAAGTATACATTTTATTTAAGGTAAGTTTTTCTTTCTTTTTTAAAAATATATTTTTGTTGATTTCAGAGAGGAAGGGGGAAGTAGAGAGATAGAAACATCAATGATGAGAGAGAATCATTGATTGGCTGCCTCCTGTACACCCCTACTGGGGATCAAGCCCACAACCCAGTCATGTGCCCTTGACCGGAATCAAACCCGGATCCTCCAGTCTACAGGCTGATGCTCTATCCACAGAGCCAAACCAGCTAGGGCTGCAAGTTTTTCTTTAAAAATTTAATTATTGATTTGAAAGAGAGAGAGAAGAGGAGAGAAACATTGATTTGTTGTTCTACTTATTTATGCATTCAATGGTTGGTTCTTGTATGTGTTTGGTGATAGATTAGGAAGGCGGGAGAAAGCAAAGGACGGGGTGGGGGAACCTCTGGGATTGGATGAAAGGTAAAATGATATGCACACATCTTTTATATTAGTGGGTACAGGATAAACAGTTAATGATTAACCTTACATGTGGCATGGGGTGGGGGTGGGGTCAATGGGGAGAAAAGAGGGAATATCTATAATACTTCCAACAATAAAGATAAATGTAAAAAAAATTAACATAAAACAATGAGAGGATTTATGGTCTCTGTCCTGGTGCATTGGTTGTGTTGTGGACCAACATTCGCGAGAATAAGACCACCGACTCCAATTAGGTCTTAAACAGCAAGTGAGGATTTATTGAACTGGCCAGTGACCATAGTTACAGCACCCTGCCAAAGCAGAGGCTGAACTGCAGCGCTGACTGCAAGAGTTACATTTTATTATTAAATTCTGTGGATGCCCAGAGAAAAATGTGTCTTTCAAATTCTGGACCCCCCAATATAAAGGAAACTCTATTTATCCTTTTTTTTTAGTCCTTTGTCTCCCAAATTTGGAATGAGACTTCCGGGCCTTCTGAGAAAGAAGGCCTGCGTGCTGGGAAGGGGCCATGAGACCATATCTCAAGGCCTGGCCTGATGTCAGTACCTTCCTATCTATGTGTTTTAGGAACAGACAGCACAGCATGACCCGTCTGGCCAAAGCACCAGATACGCAGCCCAGCACATCTTGTGCCTTGTGAGGTCTGGAAAAAGGGGAGTTACCCAGACTTTCCAAAGAAATGTTATCCTAGAAGCAAATGACAATAGACAGGCTTAGTTAAGATAAAGATGGACCTTCGTCAGGGAAGACACTGATTAACAGGGAGGACGTGACTACCCACCATAAACTGCTTTTAGTTTAAAAAGTTTTAATTTTAGATCATCCTTTGTGTTTACTTCAGGTCTCTGAGTTTGCAAGGTCGCCATGCAGGCCTTCCCTGAGCTACTCAGGTTAGCATGTGGCCCCTTTTCATCCCGAGGATCCTCGGTGGGGACAGAACCTACAATCTTGGTATACTGGGATGACACTCTAACCAACTGAGCTACCTGGCCAGAGCTACTTAATGGAAGTTTTACATGACATTGGAGTCTTCATAAATAAATGAAAACCCAAAGGAACCGCTAACTTGAGTGTTTTTATGCTGGAGATGAAGAGTGAATGGTCATGGAGGAATATGACAGAACAATGGTAAAAAGTCAGTGTGGTGACCTGGGGGAGACAGCTGGGCCTGTTTCTCAGAATCTTCTCAGGGTCTCCTCTGCCTTGGAGATAAGAGGCTCCTTTCCTCGGGTACAAGGAAGGCACCTCTGATCGAAAAGTCTTATAACCTGTTTCAGGGGGTGGGGGGGGGGCTGGTTAGAGAATCCTTCCAGGACCTACCCTACCAGTTCTCCAATTTCTTCAGCTTAAAATATTCAAGGTGCCAAGATGTCCTGAACCCCATCAAAAGGAATCATTACTTCAAGCTTTGTACTGAGAAATCCAACCATCAGATTTTTTCTAATGCCTCAAAGATTTAAAAAATTCTTAAGACCATGGCCCTGTTAAAGAAAAAATTATTCTGACACTTGTTAAAACAGCAATGAAAACTTTATTCAGCACTATGGCAATAAGTGTTGAGACTACCGGTATTATAACAGGGGAGAGAACTGTGGCCCAACTCTCAAAGCAGGACAGAAGGCTGTGGGTTTAAAGCCAACAAACTGTGTGTGTGTGTGTGTGTGTGTGTGTGTGTGTGTGTGTTTGGGGTGGGGGTGGGGGGGATGGTCAATGCTAGGAGAATCCCTAAGAGGAGACATCCAGGGTGGGGAATTCTTGCTAAACTGTCCGAGTAGAGTATATGGGGCGTTATTCAAGGCGTCCCTTGAGATAAACTTAACCGTTCAGGTGTTCAGCATTAAGTAGTTGCTAGCGAAGGGACTACTCTAAGCAAGCAGGACTGAGGGTAGGCATTATCATCTGACCTTATATTAATATAGTTAAGACTGCTGGAGGAATTACGCCACACAAGAATATGCAATTGCAAATCACACAGCACTTTATTACTCACAAGGCTCCTGGTGCCGTGGGCTCAGACTTAATGGGGTCCCCGGGGAAGAGTGGCATCCTCTGCGGGCAGCGGCGGATCCGTCTTTGGGTGGCTGGCTGTCTGGTTGGGTCGAGTCAGCGGGAGGAGGGCAACTGAAGTCTCAGGATCAGAGGTTTGGCCGTTCTTCTGCCTCCAGGAGTGTGGATCAGGAGGATGATCGATGTCTGAAGTCGGGGACCCATTTTTTAAGCCTGCTCTGGCCCGCGGCAGTCCAGGTGGCTATCTGTAACATATGTCATCACACAAGTGTTAATCAGAGTACAAGCTGGTTATCAGTAACATGTGTCATTCCTATGGGTGGAGTACAGGAGGAATATGGGGTAAGTTTTATCTATGTCACACACACATAGGGAGGTGGTTACCTAAGTGGTCAAGTCTGACCCTTAATATGTCACTCTAGAGTTCACCCTAAAATTACAAACTTATAAACTAGAGAATTATTACTATTACATAAACCTATTTAACAGGATTCTTGCTAAAGACAGACTGGGATGGTCAGAAATCAAGGACACACAGGTAAACAGATACTGAAGAAATTCAAGACATACCACCCAAAATATGCACTTTGGTATATATTGATTATTTTGAGCTGAAGGCACTTGCAAAACAGCAAATGCTAGGAGAGCCCTTCTCTGAACTTCACTGATTCACCTAAAGACAGATCCTCCAAAAAGAATTTTGTTGTCCTACATCCCCTCCCTGGGAGTTCCACCCACTAGGAGAGGATACTAGAAGTCACCACTTCATCCAGACAAAGTTTGTCCCAAACTTCCCATCTGTTCTAAGGCCCAGTTATCTTTTTAAAAAATATCCCTGACTCTCTCCTAAGAAGCCCATATCCCCTATGCTTTGGGTGTACAAGCTCTTACTGCTTTTTTGGGGTCTTTATCCTATGATGCCTCCATGCATATAATATTAAAAATGAATATATTTGGACAGTTGTAATACAAATAAAAAATAAAATAAAATAAAAGAATACATTTGTATGCCTTTTCTCCTGATAATGTGACAGTATATATATTTCATAGGCCTAGCAATGGAATCTAGGAAAGCAAGGGTGAGGAATTCTCTCCCAACTGACTCAACAGGATTTTGGCTATAGCTGGACTAGGCAGGCCAAGGTCAAGGCCCAAGGACAAGGCATAGTTGAAAAGAGGGCTCAGAGCAGCCTCTCTACAGTTTGGTGTCAATATCTGTTTCTACCATTTCATGCTCTAGCAACAACTACTTATACCCACCCACCTGAACTCACTCCATACTTCTGACCATGCAACTCTCTATGCTTGAAATGCCTATCCATCTTTTGGTCTATAACCCACATTCAAGACATAAGTCAGCCCTAGCTGGTTTGGCTCAGTGGATAGAGCATCGGCCTGCGGACAGAAGGGTCCTGGGTTTGATTCGAGTCAAGGGCACATGCCCGGGTTGCAGACTCGATCCCCAGTGGGAGGCATGTAGGAGGCAGCCAATTGTTGATTCTCTGTCATTACTGATGTTTCTCTCTTTCTCTCCCTCTCTCAAGCCAATAAAAATATATTAAAAAAAAAAAAGACATGTCAGCTTGGACAAATTCCTTGAAAAATACAATTAGCAAATATGACATAAGAACATCTAAACAGCCCCAAATCTATAAAGAAATATAATTTAGAATCAAATTTCTTCCATTTATTAGAAAGGCCCAGGTCTAGAGGGCTTTAATGGTGAATTCAATAAAATATTTAAGGAAGGAACAATGTCAATGCTACACAAGCACTTTAAAAAAATAGAAGAGAAGGAAATACTTCACAACTTTTTTTTTGAGGGCTGTGGGACCGATACCAAAACTTGACTAAGAGATCGCAACAAAATAAAATTCTGTTTGCTAGTATTTTGCATTTCTCTGTTATTTTATGTTGAAAAAAAATATTTTTTCAGAAAAGTTGTAAAGAAATGGCTCAATGAACACACATATACCCATCACCCAGTTCTGTTAACCTTTTGCTGCATCTGCTTTATGTCTCTATAAAATAGATGCTTCTGAGTCATTTGAAAGTTGTAGCCAGGAGAACTCTTGACTGAATAATTCAGCACGCACGTCTCCAAATAATAAGGCACTCTCATCAACAGCCATCACAACACTGAAACACTTAATGATTCCACAACACTCTCTAATGCATATTCTCACACAAAGTTCTCCAACTGCCCCCATGTCCTTCATAGCTTCTTTCCTTCAGCCAGCTGTAGGATGATTTGCTGGTGGTCTCCTGTGGAGCGGTTCTCTAACTTTTCTGTTCTCCTTGATACTGACTTTTTAAAGAGTCCGGTGGAACTAGATTACCCAGATAATCTCTCAATCTGGATTTGTCTTATTTTCCCCGTGACTAAATTTATTTTAAACATTACTTTGGCTGATATACTTGGGTGATGTAAAAACCCACTTTTGACATTCAATATGCTGAGTAAGGCTTCAGAGGGCAGCTGAGATACTTTTATTTTTCTGCTGTGAAAGCCATAGCATTTATTGAAGAAAGAATGTATGTTTGTAAATCACAGAGCTGCCTGGGCATACATTCCATTGTTCCTAATGCTGTTCCAACAGCTGAGATACTTCTAGCAGGAACTGTAGTTGCCTCCTGGGGAGTGTGGCCCTTCAAACAAAGGGCTGGCTGAGCTCCTTGGCCTTGAAAGCTCTAACGACCATTACTAGAGGCGACATTTAAACCAGGGATCGTCTCCAGACATTTTTGGTTGTGATACCGTTGGGGGGATGGGGGTACTACTGGCATCTGAGTGGGAAGAGGCCAGCGATGCTGTCACACATTCCCCCTGAAAAAGTATTATCTGACCCCGAAAGTCAACAGTGTAGAGGTGGGAAAACCAAGGGAGCTACTGACTCCTTGGCACCATTCCTTCTTGTTCCTGAAAGGCTCCACTATTGTCTGGGCCATCAACACTAAACACACACACGGAAGTAACCATCCCGATACCTCCCGCTAAGCAGATGCACTGTATGCGGCTGTATCTAAACTGGCCCTCCAGCCGGCCTGGGAGCTTCCTGCGCCTGCCCATGCGTCGTCCGAGATGAGCTCGGTTCCAGCAGGCACATGGCAGGAGCCATCTTATTGGGAAGAAAAGGTGCCGGTGAAACCCCAAGAGCACTGCTCACGAGCAAGTGAGCTGCAGGTTAGAGCACACAGAGTGCTTTCCAGTAACAAGTCCTGCCACTCGGCCCAACACGCGAGGAGGCAGTTCCTCACGCTTGGCTGGCAGGCTGAGCCTCTGCACTCGAGGAACCGCGTCTGCCCAGGGACTGGCTGGAGGACACCGGCTAGTGTGTGCGTGTGCGTGGGGTGTCAAGAGAAAGCTCTGAAAGGGGGTGTGGGGGTGTGTGGAGGAAAACCAAGTTTGGACGAAGGGGAGAACATTGGCCAGGGTTAGGATTCAAACCGGGAGCCAGCCTCCAGGTCCCGCACTCAACTCCTTAGGAGTCAGAACTGCCCCGCCCTCTCGCTCCTCCTCCTGCAAACACCTACCCTGACGCTCAAAGGGCGCCTGGGGCGAAATAAAGTCAAGCAAGTCCACCCGTGGTCATGGCACGCGTGGCTCCCGGTCTCAGGGGAGACGGGCGTGTACCCCCGTTGCGGTGGCGGCCGGGCACGGGGGGAATGTCGGTCTCGCAGACGCCTCCCTTCACCCCTACTCTCCAGGCAGGGCAGGTGAGCGGACGCCCGGTCCGAGCAGCGGGGCGCCGGGCGGCCGAGGGGTCCGCGCGGGCAGGAGCCGTCGATGGGGGCCACGGCTCAGACCGAGGGCACCCTTGTGCCAGTGTCCGGCCTCAGCCGAAGGGCAGCGAGCGCCGCAGGACGACTTGCTGCTTTAATCCAAGGACAGGGAGAGCTGGCCATTCCGTTATAGGCCTCCCACTGAGCGGAACACCGAAACTTCCCGGGAGGCCTACCGTCGGCATCAGTAGCGCCCACTGGGCTCTCGGACCTCCCCCTCCGAATACCGCCCCTTCCCGGCACGCACCTGGGCCCCTGCGGCCCCGCACGGCTAAGTGAGCGGACCCAAGCCCCGCCCCGCCCCGCCCCGCCATCAGGTGGGCAGTTTCAGGCTCCGCTCCGCTGCAGGTGACGGTCCGTCCCACCGCCCGCCAGGCCCCGCCCCGCCCGCCGCTGGGCATTGCAGTGCTCCGTCCCGCCCCGCCCCGCCCCGCCCACCCTGCCGCCAGG